ATGGACTGTTTAAAATAATTCGTACATTTTTTTTAAAGTTATGTGAGATGATAAGTAGTTATTCGAAGTGTGCTTTCGTGAATAGTGACTTTCGTACTGTGGAAATGAAAGTATGTGATGTTTTATTTGTCTTCACTAATTTTCGTTTTTGGTGTGTTTCCTCTTTTATCTTCTACATCAGTAGAAATCAAATTTCCGTTATAAACAGATATATTACAATGACGGTAACTCTCATTGTGACGTCAACAGTAGGGGATCTGCTGACAGTGGCCTGCGCAATATCTTACCTGTTTTTCTTTGTACCATGAGTGTAACCTATGATTACGATTGTGCCACTAACGATAACAGAAATACAATTGATAAGCGTAGAAAACATTTGATCAATTTCAAAATTTTTAAATTTTCTCGCTATGAATTTTTTCCGCGTTTATGATGTAAAAATTTTGCAAATAGCATTTTATTCTTTGCTGAAAAACAGAAAAATCTGTGGTTTGTTAAAACCTAAATAATATTGTTTTTCCTGTATATGCAGTAATAAATGCGTTTATTTAAAAATCCGGATATCCCAGTTTTGATTTCAACTAACAATTTATTTAAGACAATATACACGACGTCAGTTATAACAATAGCAATAAATAACAATTATAATTATCTGTATTGTACTTGTTTATTAACTGTTTGCAAACTTAAAAGGTGATTATAATTTTATAATACTTACAACTTGACGATTTTTCATTTCTATTTTGGTAATACGTTATCTCTGTATTTTAACAACCATTATGCAATTTATGATATCTGTGTATTAAACTTGTATGATAAATTCTTCAGCTATCTTAATCGCCTACACAACGCGTTATCTTGTAGTTCACGATTAGCTAGTGTCTGATACGATACTTCGAAGAAAATTCACGTTTTGATGTTCCCTCAACCTTTTTTAAATATTGGTGAAACCTATAGTCAATTCTACAACTAGAAAGTAAAACAAAAATAGTTGTTTTGCAACAGGATAATATGGAATCTTTGTGGAATATTTTGTTTTTCCCTTTTCCTTATAGACAGTATAGAAACCCATACAAATATTTAATAGTAGTTTAAGCCAATGTGAAAGTTACATCCGCTGCAAATGTCACCGTATCTGCTACCAAATAAGAGCTTATCTGTAAAGTGGTTATTAAAAACTATAAATTACATTTTTGGCGACACTCAGCTTATACACTAAAACCTACCACGAAGATAGAGAACATCAAACATATTGTTGCCAAGGTGTCGATAAAAAGGTCGAACCAAACATTTTACAAAGAGAATCTATATAGCTCGATTCTCTTATGTTGGAATAACGACAGGATTACGTTGAAAAAAACTGCAGCTGACCACAGAGTATTGGGATCGAGTAGAGCTCAAGCAGGGTCAGCTCCTAGATTTAATGAGATTCTTGGGACCCGTAAAGGACTGACTTGATACACACATGAAGTTTGCAATTCCCGCCTTCATTGAGACTCCTTGAAGAGTCATTGCCAACCCATGCATCTAGAAGTTGGGGAGACCCTGCGCATCAGTTTGGGATCTAGAAGGTATTCCCAGGTCTCTTGCTGCAGGAAGAGTCCTCATCAAATCCAAGCACCGATGTCCTCCGATGTTGACCGGTAAGAAATCCCAATAAGCTTAAATCAAAACAACAGCAACCCACCAAAAGCAAATCTGCGAAATATGACTATAAATATTTTCAAAATATTTCCTCGACCTTTGGAAAACAAGAAAAAGTAAGGAAGACTCTTTTTGGCTTACTTTATTCACTTGGTTAAAAGAAACTAAGTTACCCAGATTTTAGAAGGATTGACAACTAACAGACTGTGCTGCAACAATAATTTTCTCGGCTTTTGTAACGTATAAACAATTTCTCTTTTTACTCAGTGCTTTGAGACTTGACAATAAACAACATTATTTGCAAAGAAAGCATTTGACCGTTTGGTCCCAATTAGAAATAAGGTTAATAAGTTAATTGTCAACAATTGTCAAAAAAATAGTGTGATTTTGGTTCCGTTTCGAGGCAGATGTAGCTTTATACAGTATACTCCAAATAAGCCAGTAAGTATGGTATAAAGATGTATGCTTTATGTTCTAAATTTAGAAGTATACTGGTGGGAAACAACCAACAGTGAGGAGAGATACGTAGTTTCAAATGCTCCAATATATGTAGTTCATAAGTTAGTAAATCCCTTTGAGAATGGAAATAGTAACATAAGCACGGATAACTGGTATACAACCGATATATTTGCCTAAACACTTCTTGAGAAGAAACTAACATAGATGTTCACAAATAAATCACTTCAAACTGGCTTCCAAGCAAAGATAGGCCCTTATAGTTTCCCGTGATCGCCTTCTCTGACGAAACAACTTTGGGGTCTGACACTAAAAACAAAACACAAATGAATTCTTTTGCTTTCCAATTTGCTCATTGATGCATGAGTCCACGTTCCTCATCATCACAGTCATTAACATCTTAGTAGATGTGTTGTGGTTCATAATTAGGCTTCAGCAGCTCGGACAGTTTGATTGATAATATTTCTCCACTGGTCGCGGTCATCAGTTATATGTATTGCCTCAGTATACTGTTTATTGAGAAGCTTTTTAGTAATGTCCGCCCATCGCTGTGGAGATCTTCCGCGTTGGCGTTGAGTCTGAGGCCTTCCTTGGACCACCAACCGCTCCATTTTGTGATCACTTCGATGGATATGGCCAAAGAACTTTAAAATTCTAGAGTAAACGGTACTGGAGAGACGCTGATCCGGTTTAATTTCATCCAGAACCAAGATATTTTACGGCGAGCCGTCCATGGAATTCGAAGCAGGCGTCTTCATGTCCACATTTCAAAGGCGTCTATACGTCGTCGATCTGATACTTTGGTTCCATTCCATTCCATTTGGATCCTTCAAAATAGTTCCATTTTATAATTATACTAAATGAGGAATTACCGACCAAATATGTGAGACTTGCACTATTTCAGGCGAATGCCTTATGTTTTTTACCAGCTGCTAAATATTGTTAGACTAAATTCAAACAGAATATTCAATGCAACTCGCCCTGCTGATGACTGAAAACCTGAAGAATTTGGTGATTCTTCGTATAAAACCGTATCTATCTCACAATTAGGGTCCAATGTAAGAGAGTTGTATAATAAACAATTTCTTCGAAGATTCAAGCCAGAAATAGAAATACAGAAAACTAAAGGCAGATGTGTCCAGTAATTGCTTCAAAAATGAAGAAAGGGGTATTTTTTATTTTTTTTTTATATAAAAAATAGAATGTATTTCCTTTATTATATTCGGATAGTGTTGTTATAGCGGCCATTTAAGGGTTAACAAAAAACTTAATGCAAAAAATGGATCAAAACACTTTATCTATGTTATCAAATATACCTAGTCTGATCTGCTACAATTAATGGATAATAATTTGTTCTTGACAGTGAAATTGATCCTTAATTCGTTTATCATCCTCATTTAATTATATTTCGTGCTCGAGCAATGTAATTGATGATCTATTTTACATATTATCAGTACTGTCTCATGGTATCTTAGTTACAATATAATCTTAATTGAAAAATATTTTTGTATCTATTTTTATGCACGCTTCCCTTGTTATTTGTGGTCTATAATGAGTATGGTACTTTTTGTATGACCTTCCGATTTTGTTCCGTAAGTACTGCAATCGAAATTTCTATTATATATTTTTATCTGATATCCAGTGTCTATGTTCTAGTTTTCGTCTTTTTTTTATTTGGAAAAGAATATATTTTTTTCATCTTACATTGCAAAATAAGTAATCGCAATTTTTGTTAACTGCATTGTTGACTTCTAACAAATTCAAGTAACTTTTAATCAAGCTGCAAAAATACGAACTTACCATTGCGCGCGTATACAGCGAAAACATATCCTTGCTTGGAGATCAGGGCTTTAAGCTCTAAACAAGTTAACTTGATGCTGGCAAAGGAAGCTATGGCGTACTGGCAAAGGAAGCTATGGCTAATAATACTGGAATTGACAGCGTAAAGAGTTATTATTGTGGATGGATAAATGAAGCAGCAACTGGACTATTGTTCAGAGCTTTTGTATAAATCAAGATACAATACTAACACACGAAAGCCTGGCCGATATATATATATATATATATATATATATATATATATATATATATATATATATATATATATATATATAAAGTATCAGTAAAGTCATTAGCTGATAAATAAGTTTTTACAATTGTGGATGGGATAAAATATTCGATGCAGAGTAGAAACTACGTTTGGGGGCTACTACTATTTTACTATCTGAGTTAATTACAACGCGAACCCCGCATATCAGATGACACTGACTGCTACTAATGGGATGCTGGATTCTGGACTAGATGGTTACTCTTATGAAGTGACTTTTCATTTCCCACTTTTCGAACAAGAATAGACCAACATAAAAAAAAACAAACAAATGAAATAGAAACAATTCGGTCCTAGTCATCCGGAAACTATGACAGAACTCGTAACATGAGCGGCGTACTAGGGATTTACCCGTAGACTCAGAAATTATACAACGTTTCAAAGAGAATGAGCTGGAACATGTCGACTATGTGCAAGTTATATCAAAGTCATTACAAGTTTTGATAAAGTGTGTCTCTTGAAGTAATATCTCGGCCCAAAAGCAGACGCTAGTCTGCATAGGTGTTCTAAAACACAAAATATATTTGAGATCGCTGTACGAAGAGGTCTTACGAAGCCACAGATCCTTTAGAAATCTACGATGTTTATTAACCTGTGAACAATTAATCGATGATTTGTAAAAACTTTTTTATCAAATATTGTAATAAATTGTGATAAATACCGCATCCTTTCCCGTTATTTTTGGAACGATTCTCTTCATCAATACAAAACCACAGCTTATTTGTGTTTTCCTCTATTCCAGGAAATAAATTCTAATATGAAATAATAGATATTTAAAAATGTTTTGTTTCAGGTCACAACCAATATATCTCCGCTTCAGACGCAGATAGTTTTTCATCTAAATCTCAACCGGCTTGGCACAGTAGTACTCTTTCCCAATCAAGCTCGGATTGTGATACCCGTTTGACTCCCCCTTTATCCCAGAAAAGCTCTGGCGGACAGTCTCGCAGAAACATGGGAGGTAGAAAACCGACCAAAGATCTCAATTGCAGCCCGGAAGAAGAGGAGAGGAGAAGAATCAGAAGAGAAAGAAACAAAGCCGCTGCAGCCAGATGCAGAAAGAGAAGAGTTGACCATACTAATTCGCTCGTAATGGTAAGTTTGTCTAATTTTTTATTTATATCTATATAAACGTTCTGCTTGATCGTATCCACGAGGTAGGAGAGGAAATGGGCATTAAAATAAACGCAAACAAACGTAGAATAGCAATGACTAAAACTACTTTTATGAAAATGAAGTCATTTCTTTGCAATAACCATCTCAGTTTAGAACTAAGGCAAAGGATGGTTAAGTGCTATGTTTCGTCCGTACTTTTGTATAGTGCAGAAGGGTGGACGCTAAAAGTATCGATCATGAATAAAATTGAAGCATTGGAAATGTGGGTTCATAGACGAATGCTGAAGATAACTTGGACAGCAAGGAAAACTAATGAAGAAGTACTAAGGAGCGTCAACAAAGATAGAGAAATGCTAAAGACTGTTAAACATCGAAAAATTTCTTATCTGGGACATAGAGTAAGGGGAAGTCGATATAAAATATTACAACTGATCCTTAAAGATAAAATAGAGGGCCGTAGGGGTATAGGAAGATAACAAGTTTCTTGGTAAAAAAATATTAGTGAATGGACTCAGATACCAAATGCAGGACAAGTATTCCATATTGCAGAAGATCGAGAAGCCTTCGCAATGGTGATCGACAACGTCGGATAATTCTGATATGGTACGCGAAGAATAGGTCAATTGGTCTCTTATGTCACGAATAAAATTTATATTCTTATAGCAAATTTTAATTCTTTTAACTTCGGAATTTCTTCAGAAAAAATACCAGGTGCCACCTAGTGTTCTCTGGATTAGAGGGTCAGAGTATGATTGTAGTAGATTTGCTTCTATTTAAACTAGATTGCACGTCAGTAAATGACAAAAAAGTTTTGTATTAACCACCGATATACGAGGGAAATATTTTTCATTTCGTCTCACCTAGCAGGTCTATCTGATGAGATCAAAATAGCGAAACACGTGTCATAGAATTGTTAGTTTAACGGGATGTGAATATTCCTTCTTGTATATTATTTACACAATATTAAATCAATGTGTTACATATTTTATAATTGTTTTTCTTCTTTTAGGAAACTGAAGAGCTTGAACACAAGAAGCAACTGCTTCAGGATGAAATGCATGAACTCCAACAAATGAAAGAACATCTAGAATATCTCCTCGAGTCTCACAAGGCGCAGTGTCGCTTGAGTACCCAAAGTCCCCCAGACATCAAACCATACAACCACTACAACAACGAACGTGTTAAGTCCGAATACATAGAACCTTTACATGATATTTTCTTACTTCCTAGTCCTACGAAAAAAGTGATGTTAAGTTCCACAGTGCCAATCTCGAAACCTACCAGACCTAGCACTTTAAATGTAGGAGCCACAGCCCCCAAATCAGTATCAGACATCCTTGGAGGCCCTGTGTCTACTCCCTCTACCGGAATAATGTTCAACTTTGATTCTCTAATGGGCGGAGGTACCGGTTTGACACCTGTATCCGTCGCAACGCCGCTAGTGCCATCTTGTAGTTCACAACAGAGGAATATTCCGGTTAGTATGGCTGATATGGTGTCTCCTGATTGTGGGCCACCGAAGCTCGTCAGTCTCTGAGGGCTGGAGTGCGACATTTTTGTTGTGTAATGTCTTGTTTAGTCTTTTGTTTGTTTCTTTTTTGTTTAGTCAATTTAATTGCTTTGCGAATGAGTATCAATATCAAGCCATGTTATTGTTCAGCAAGTTTTTGGAACTTTGTTGGAGGATAACCGGGCAATTGAGAGTTGGCAATGAAGTTTTTATGTTGGTGTATGTATATGAATAGTTTGTGGATAATTGATTATAGAACTCTTTATATTTTTTCATTGAAAAATATAGTCTTAATTGTTAAAAAGTTATCTTCATTCCAGTGATGTATTAATGCAATGTAATTTCTGAAGCTATTTATATAATCAGTTATGCCCAAAGATTCAATTGCTTTTTGTCAAACGACTAAATTTATTATTCAATAAATTTTACACACATTTGCCAACTCTTGACTAAATTGCTGCGAAGTCAAGCAATATTTTTCGAAATGACATCGAATGCATATACAAAAATAATTTATATAGTCATAAGAGTATTAGAGATATTAATGCGCAATTTCTATTTATTATAACTGAAACCAAAGTGAAGTGCAATGGCACAGTGCAATGAAATTAATAAATATATTTTAAATATTCAAATTGTATTTTATTTCAAATCCCAACTTTTTCTTTGGGAAAAAAAGCATAATGTAAGTTCATTAGATAAAAATCATCCTAGTCAAGTCATTTTAATTCGTGTAGTTAATTCCAGAGATATATTTTGAAACTCTTGCGTAGGCATAGTGTAATTACCCATTTTTAATTATGAATTAGTAATTTTCCGATCTTCAAATAGACTGACCAGTAGATATACAGCACCGGTTCAAGACCAGAAGTGACCAAGTTAAAGTCTTAATTTTTGATGCAGGTTCCGCTGACATGATCAACCTCTACCCTTAAACCACAGCGTGTCCCAGCAAGGACAGCATGCTATAGCTGACATTAAGATGTCTGCAGCTGTGGCACGCTGTCTTTGGGTATCTGTGATACCCTGTCTCTCGCTTTAGGGTGATGTCAGCGGCACCTGTAGCAAAAAAGCAGACTTTAGTTTGACCACTTATCTACCCTGGCCCAATGTATTAAAGTATATTAAAGATACATACACAATGTGTAACGGAAATTATTCTTCTTTCATTTATGGAACGTGTAAATTTTTTTCTGTTTTGTTGGTAGCTATTAAAAATAGTCTTTTTCAAGTACATCATAACCTATAGCGTTTCTGTGGTGACATTAAAGAGCTTGGTGAATTGATCAACGTTATTCACCACTAATAAACAGAAATACTGTCAATTTTTTCCTTGTATCTGTTCTATTTGTTGTGATATTCTGAATTCTGAATTATTGCCAATGTGTGAGTTAAATGGTTTGCTATTACACATTCTAAAACTAAAATAGCTCTGCACAAGACAGAAAATTGTAAGTTGGCGTCTACTACATTCCTAGACGTGGCCATAAAAGTTTCGTCGTATGCTTTGTTTTTTTTTTGCCCCTCAACAAGAAATTATTACATTAATAGGAGTAAACGAATAATTCAAGAGGGTTAATTAACATCAAGTCAATATAGTGATATATATAGAACTAAATAAAGAGAAGAAAAAAATGATTTAATACATTTTCCGATTGAGGTAGTATCTTTAAAAGGGCATAACAGTAAGACTCAGTTATTGTACCAATGTTTTGTGTGACAAATTGTATGGAAATTACCGAACGCGAATTAATTTTTTATGTAGTGCATCAATATCTCTAATCCCATCATAAAAACAACGAAATAAGTATTTCTTCATGTCTTCTTTTTATTTTTCATCGAATGGCCTTAAGATCTCGCGTTTTTGTAAATTAGAAAGTCTTAGAATTGATTATAGTGTTATAAAAAAGGACGTTGAAAAATAAAAAGAATGTGCATACGTGCAAGCTTCGACTCTTTCGCATAGCAGCATACACAACATTTCTTCAGTTGTATATTTACAAAGTATATTTGTTATTTTAGGAATCATAATACTTAAGAAAGCTTAGCCGAAACAATCAAAGTTGGACTTTAGTCAAAAATATTGAACAACCTCTGGGAAAAATGTCTCATGTCCAACACTTTTACCATGTTTAGTCGACCCGACATTAAACCAAAAAATATTTATTGATAGGAGACGAATTTTAAGTGTCATAGTATTTACGTTTTATTTATTTATATAGTTAATTTTTTCTTGTGAGGTTCATCTGTGAACAGTATTTTGTTAATGCAGATATGATCAACTAGTACGTCAAAATGTGTTGTAAAGAAATGTGATATTCAGAGTATATTTATTAGTTACAAATTTGAAATTGATTATATAGTAAAACAACCTAAAACGTTAACCCTCTCGCTTCGGTGAGTATGCAACCAGTATCACGCTGCGCGGAGGTACTCTGTCAATAAAAGTTACAAAAGAATAATTCAGCAAAAGCTAACATGTGTGGCCATTAATATTTACGTAACTTTCAAGAATAAAATATTTCCTAATTCGAGTGTGAAAGTAAAATAACTTATTTGAGACATCCGAAGCCAATTCTAATGGAGAACAGGTGTTAGACTCTAAATTTATCTATATCACACTGTAATAAAAATAAGTAGAAACAAGGGGTCATGGAGAACCATTTGTAGGTAATAAAATTATGGATATGATGCCAGATTTAAAGACTAATAGCTGACTTAACACCCAGTCACACTAATAATGTACGATACCATTTTCATCTTTTATATAGACAGGGAATGACGTGTCTTCAATTAAGCAACAATATATTTAAAATTGTTAATTCAAATATTAAGACTTAATTAGGAATCTCTTAGTGGAATCGCCACATACCACTATTTAAACTCATTAATATATTCTACAGTGACATCTAGATCATCGGGTGCCAATTGTTTAACGACACTTGAGGTGTCGTTTTATTGCTAAACAATATGACACCCAGTGATCTAGGTGGTAGCGTTATTCTTACACATTGGTTGCTATATTGTTACACATCGTCCCCACGTTAGGCGCCAATTTTAGCCTCGGCTAAAACAGTTAAAACCCGATTTTACTAAATGTGCGTTCTGAGCAAACGCAAAAATGTCAAGTATTCTTTTGAGTATCGCATGATTCAGTTATTGATTAAACAGAAATTTAAAAATAAAACATGAAACTGAATAATCAGTATGTTTTTAAAATTATTTTTGACATTTCTACCAGCTTAACGCGGGAAATTCTTAGATACAGTGCCATAAATCTCAATTTGAAATTAGTTTTCATGCTCAGAAAAAACTTTCATTCATTATATTTAAAACAAAGTTTGAATGGTATATTGCATGTAGAATATTTACACTGTGGGCGCCATCGACATATTGAAAGATAGAAACAACGCTGGAAGTATGTACAAATGGTTATCCTCAGTGAAATACTAAATTATACATTGTTACTTACACCAATAGTTTTCTTTTCATTTTGTAACTAAGTAGCAAATGTTTATTCTTGTACTGGTTTCTCATATATGCAATTTATAACGAGGTAAAGATCTAACTGCAACAGAAGTAACGACAATCTAATAACATAGAGCATATATTTAAATGCTGGTTTAAATTATCAATACTTTAAGTCTTTCAAAATGCCTCTCATATTAATCGGATTCTCCAGATTTTTCACTCTTTTCATTCTCTTTTTGACCTCATTATTTAAAGAAATGTTGTTCTAGTCTTTTGTACTGATTCACCTTTACTGGGGCTAGTTTTTCTGGCCATAGGACCAGAGGTAGTCTTCGTAGATATCTCATTTGTGTTCTCTCTAATAGGGTATCAGTTCTTGTTTACAATTTTGACTTTTAGTAAACATACTGATATAATTCAAAAAAATCGAGACATTAGTAAGTTGTAATTGCTTTAATTATTCCTTCTTTTTACTACTACTTCAGTTTTTCTTTTTCTTTATTAAGTGCCATTCAATTTTTGTGTGTGACAGTTTAAAATTGACTGACAGTTGACAAGACTAATAACTATATTAACGAATAATGGACCAATGGCACGTAAACACAAAATTAACCATTAATTGACAATAAATGTTAATTAATGACATCAAACCTTGCATTATCTGTGAAAATATAAGTAAAGGTGAGCTCTAAATACCTTCATTATTATGTTTCCTTTAGTATGAGATATCTTTTGAAAGCGCTATTTGTTGTATTGCGGTAAAGAATCTTAAATATCCAACTACCAGCTTTCCATGATTACTTCCGAACCATGTTGTGAGATCATTAACAAAATATCTTGTAGGTCACAGATTTAACCCTATTTTCTGTAAATAAGTGCTAAACATGGACCAATTTGTTGATTAAGTGCTCAAAACCTATTTTCATTGTGCTCCAATAATATTCTGGTTTTTGGTTTTGCAATATAAATTTTGACATATTGAGTTTATACAGTTCTTATTCAATATTCTGTTGCAAATATATAATATATTAAAAATAACATATTTCAATACCTATTTATTATTATTGTTAGAGACAATTTGTTTAATATCTACTACTTCAGTCTTAAATCTTAATGTTTACTAGTGTATTGCGAAACCACAGAACAGCCCAAAGAGTAATATATATTTTGCTATGAAACCATGAAATGCCTTTTTATAAAAGAGTCATATATTTTCAAATAGGAAAAATATTCCCTCCATTACAATTTTTTAAATCAATTTAAGAATATATAAGAATATATTTTTTGATATAGGAGTGCTTCTCAGATAAAGCAATTTGTGTTATTACTTATAGGAATTTTAACAGGGGGTTACAAGAAGCTTGCCTAACCCTTTCTTTTAGAGTGTTGAGAAGGCTTTTTAGAATTCCATAAATTTTTGTAGACGGGGCTATTTAAGAAGTTTCTCCTTTTTTAAGATTATTATAACGTGTTTACCGTACTTTTGCAATAATGTGCTTCTTGAATGGCCTTGTATGTTTATAAGATAAAATTATATAAAAATTTAATATATTGATACTATATTTCAGTATACATAGCAATATTAAGGGTTACATTTTTTGTAATCAGTCAATTTTATAAAGTAGTTTTTGTCGAAGTTTTGTATTTATTTGCTGTAATGCTAATAAGATAAGAAATACATTGATTTATTATTTTCTAAAATGCATTTTTCTTTCATACCTCAAATTACGCCATTTGTTCAGATAATATCTCAGCTTCAAAGTTTGAGAATTTTCAAGGCTTTCCTGTTTTAAATCGAGCTATTTTACTTAACACGTTAACTGCCGATCTGTTCTGGATAGGTTTTCACCAAGAACCGCTTACTGTTTTTGATATAGAGACGTTTATTAATTAGTTTTTCGAAAAGTTCCGAATAAAGTATTTTTAAACTAAAGAAAAGACACAAGAAACAAAATGTAGAAAAAACAGAACAGGCAATAGAGAAAAATAAGAACATGAAAGTTTTGAAGAGGAGCGTACAAAAGGGGAAAATAAAAATTAACAAACTGAGAAACAGAACTGAAGAAGAAACAACGAACAGAGATGAAATATTAAGAATAGTGGAAGAGTTATACACAGTTATATAGATCAAGAAAAAAAGATAACAATACGGAACCTCCAATTACACTAAAAACTGGGGTATTAAACCAAGGATCAGATGTAATGCGCAATATAACAAAATCAGAAATCAAAGAAGCCCTGAAGAAAATGATAAATAATCGAACCCCGGGTGAAGATGGAATAGTATCAGAAGCACTAAAAATTGGAGGGGATGTATTACTTGAAAAAATTAAACAACTTTTCAATATCTGCCTTCACAGCGCCAATATTCCAACAGACTGGAACAACGCTACTATGATTCTATTACACAAAGCAGGAGAAAAAGCAAATTTAGAGAATTACAGACCGATTAGCCTCCTCAGCCATATATATATATATATATATATATATATATATATATATATATATATATATATATATATATATATATATATATATATATGTTGTTTACGCGAATACTAGTTAAGAGAATGGAAAGAAAATTAGAGACTTATCAACCAAGGGAACAGGCAGGATTCCGAAAAAGTTACGGAACAAATGACCATCTACAAAGTATAAAAACCCTACAGGCGCTTAAAGAATGCAGGCTAGATTATAGATATACTAAATTATTATACAAAATATACCTGCAGGCAACAACTACTGTCAAATTACATACTAACAGTAATCGCATAAAAATGGAACGGGGGGTTAGCCAAGGAGACCCAATGTCACCTAAACTTTTTAATCCGGTGCTAGAACATGCTTTTAAGAATTTGGATTGGATGACAAAGGGAATAAAAATAGATGGAGAATATCTAAACAACTTACGTTTCGCCGATTATATACTTATAATAGCTGAAGATCTAGGTATGGCAAGAGAGATGGTACAGGAACAGGTTGTGGCTACAGAGAATGTAGGTTTAAATATAAATATCTCGAAAACAAAAATCATGACCAATTTGGTGCCCAACGAGAACATCAGTATTGGTGGGAAAGAAATAGAACTCGTAGATAGATATAAATACCTGAGACATGAAATTATGATTGGCAGAGATAACCAGACTTATGAACTGAAGAGAAGAGTCGGCCTTGGGTGGGCAGCATTTGGAAAACTGAGAGAAACTTTTAAAAGTAAGCTGCCCACATGCCTAAAGAGAAAGGTATTTGATCAGTGCGTCCTCCCAGTCTTGACGTACGGAGCAGCAACACTTAACCTTAACAAAAGCAGCAGCTACCAAACTGAGAGTCACGCAGAGAAGAATGGAGGGGTCCATGTTAGGTATAACTCTCCGAGACAGAATAACAAACGAAGACATCAGGAGAAGAACCGGAGTGACTGACATTATCGAGAAGATAAGACTAAAATGGAGATGGGCAGCACACATAGCCAGAATGACAGATGGGCGATGGACAAAGAGGTTATTGGAATGGAGGCCAAGGGAAGACAAGAGAAGCGTCGGTCGACCACCTACAAGATGGACTGACGATTTAAGAAGACTCAATAAAAACTGGATAAGAGCGGCGCAAGATAGACGGGGTTGGAAACATGAGGAAGAGGCCTATGTTCAGCAGTGGACTCTTGAGGCTGGATGATGATGAAACTAAATGCATATATCGCACCTTGAAAACAAAGTTTTTCGAACAGTTCTGTAATGGATGTTGAACTAAAATAACCGAAATAAATACTATAATTAATGTTATTTAACAGTTTGATTTAAAGACAGTTAGTTTCTACGGAAGAAGGCAAGCTAATAATGTAACTACAACACACTGTGGTTTATGTGTACTGTGTGCACTGTGTAGAAAAAAATCTGTAAAAAATCCTAATAGTAAGACTTTTGTTTTACAGAAAAGTTCTGATTATTAGAATAACAAGTCAAGTTCATATTTACCTTATAATAAAAATATTAAAATATACTTTCATAATACGATTTGTAATAATTGGGAATTAACCCATCATCAATAAGACTTCTTAGATCATCTTTTTTTCTCTGTGATATATCCAATTTACGCTGATAGTTTCGCCCTAGAAATCGCCCTACTTCATTTCATTTACAGCGAAAGGTGTCCCTCTTTTTTTTGCACTTCGAATAGCACAAACATATTGCGAAGGTAATGTTCCTGACTTGAGACATCTTTTGACTTGTTTTTCAATCAAAGAATGTACAGCGTCTCCTTCGTTTTGAGTATGGTCACGTATTAAAAATTTATGGGTAACGGATTTTATTTTTAACTGTTTTTTTTGCTGTCCACAACAGTTATCAGAATAAAAGATGACATTCAATTCTTCATCAGCAGTTAGAGGACTTTTTCTGTAGATATTTTAAAATACAACTACCTATCTCATTAGCTCCGCGATTTCCTTGAGATTCATCCCAAAAGAAGCATTCAGTTGTGTCCTGTTGAGATAGTGAAATTTAAGCAATTTACGTAAAACTTATAATAGAAAGTTGATATCCCAGCATTTGGAACTGACATTACTGCTTACAAGTCATAATATGCCACTATAAAACTGTGCGACATGTTCTCTTTATCATTAGCATTTTCCTCGCGACTCTTTTCTTTTTCAGCCAAATGTCACTCATAATTTCATTTTTGTGCATCTTTTTCACAACCTTCAGCAATCTTGTAATTAGTACATTGCTCACATTGATCCTTCTTTAGTACAAAAATCCCAATACCTCGTTAAATATTTTTCGATATGTGTGTATCATTATATAGGGTGATCTTTGTTGTATACAGTCTTTGTAATCAAAATAAATATCTGTTAAGGTTTTTCCTCCATCTATATATTCCTTCGTTGTTGAAAGTGGGGTGGAAGGAAGTGTCACGAAGTCACAAGCAACTAACAAGTACCCCAATTACACGCCATAATTTCTGTAGCATATTTAACGAAGCATTCGATCAGTACTGTAAGCCTGAGACCATTATGATTAGCTTTAGAGCATGCGTATTATATCCAATCAATCGTGATGCTGTTGACTACTCAAAATGCATTTCTTCAAGGCATAAGGAAATCTTCGATGAAAGTGAAATATTGACACCCGAGAAGTATCAATCGGGTTTGAAAGCTGTAGAACAGTTTTTGGACCAAGTCAGAATAATTGAGTTTGAGTTGCTGAAGATGTATGCGCAAAAATTAAGAATCCATCAGAAGACATACAGGAGCATACCCCTGTAATGGAAACATTTACTGATTTAAATGACAGTAACCATGAATCAATAGATGTATTCTCCGAAACCTTTATAAATAGTTTACCAGTACAAATTGATGATAGATTAAACTTAACAGATCACTTGGTTGAGACTGCTAACGCAACTGACGTGAACTGTAATGCCAATGATAAAATGAACGTTTTAAACAAAAAAGAGACTGAAATTAACCATAACCTGATAATACATGATGATTTCATCCTAGATACAGTAAATGACGCCTATATTAGCAGAATTGAAAGCAAACTAATTTGTGAAGAAATACTTAAAATGATTATTGAGAATGCTGATTTTAAGTAAGGATTTTGATATTTCTCAAACCGGAGAAGTATTTGAGAACGAAAACCAATTTCACAGCGAGAAAAAAAATTAATATAATATCAAACATTTTAATTGACGATAAAAAAGGAAGCAATATAAATGATTTGTGGAAAAATCATTTGCATTGGCCAAAACCAGAGGGGCAACTGAAGAAACGTAGGACTGTGCAGCCTAAATTTACTTTTGCAATTACTTCAAACAAGTGGGTGGAGTACCATAACGAAAAAGAGCAGAAGAGGATAGAGAAAGAAAATGAAATTAAAGGGAAGAAAATGAAAAGAGAGATGAAAATGAAGGAAGCAAAAGTGAAAGTTGATTCTAAAAAAAAATAAAGAAGCCCATCAGAAACATCGTTAGTGATGAAGAGATAGAAATAACAAAACCGAAAAGAAAGCGCGTTGGGACAACAGATGAAAGCGTTGAGGAAGTAAAACCCTTAAAAATACTTAAAAAGGAAGTTGATCAAATAGGCAAAGGGGACTACGATTTAGTCAAATACCAAAATAAAAAATACCCTGGGTTGGTAACAGACATTGAGAACGAAGAATATGAAGTAGGTACTATGTAGCAAGAACTAGGCAAGAAACACAAATGGAGATGGCCGAATGTTCCAGATAAGATATGGTATAAGTATCAGAATATTGTGAAGAAAATTCCAGTTATAATTATTTTAATTTTTTTTATTACACTGAAAATTTTTAGTTATAGCGACATCTGCATTACTTTTGACTAAACGCTCCTATTGCAGATACTCCTGATCTATTAGCTTGCATAGTTTCTGTTAGAAGTCGCTAGGGTCAGTGCACCAGTGAATGAACAAATAGGGGTATCCTGGACTTTGGCTCATGAAATAAGCTTGATGATTTTGATATAAATGGCTAAAAATGCGTAAGTACATGGGTACATTAAACTATTTTAAATCTTAAAAAGTCAAGAAAAGTTAATTCAGTGAATCTTAATATGTAATTTTCCAAGTATTTTATTAAAATTGCATAAAACTCTAGTAAGTGAACAGGTGTCTCTAATTACTGAACGACCCACCCCAACTCAGGGTTTCATCGGATCAAATCTGCCCCGGTTC